TTGAAGGGTATAGCGACGCGAATTAGATATATGATATTAAGGAATCTAAGTCCACGAGTGGCTACGTGTTTACACTAGCCGGTGCAGCCGTTGCATGGAAATCCTCTAAGCAAACTGTGATAGCTAGATCCACGACGGAATCTGAGCTGATAGCCTTGGACAAAGGTTGTGAAGAGGTTGAATGGCTACGCCATTTTATAGAGGATATTCCTAATTGGGAAAGACCGGTACCTCCAATATGTGTGCATTGCGATAGTCAAGCCACAATCGGGAGAGTACAGAGTCATATGTATAATGGTCAGTCTAGACATGTGCGTCGTAGACATAATACCATTAGACAACTACTCACAACTGGTGTTGTCTCGATTGACTACGTAAAGTCAAAAGACAATATAGCGGATCCGCTGACCAAAGGGTTAGGCAAAGAAGTTGTGGAGAAGTTGACACGAGGAATGGGTCTAATGCCCTTGGACTAAAAAGTTCTATAGTGGATACCCAACCTAGCTGGCACCTAGGTTCAATGGGACAACTAAATTATGGAACGGAGTGCGTCACTGTGGGGGTCTTGGACTCCCTACCACTCCTCGTTAAAACAGTGACTCCCGCATGAGGCTAGCATGTTGATGCTTTAATGATTCTTGAGTATGCGGGATACTCGAGAAAGAATCACCTATGTTAGAGAGAAGTGATGATCGCTTCGAAGAAGTGAGGGTCGCTTCGAAGGAGAATTGCTGGGCACAATTCTTTAGAAACTCTCGCAGAACCAGGAACGGTTACCCACGACCAAAACGGGCACACTCGTGAGAGCAAGAGCATGGTTGGGAGATTCATGTGTGAGATATGTCGTCGTCTACACAAATGGCAGTCGGTTCAAAGACATCGCGTTCTACCGTACAGCCAGTAGAGTAAACATGTCTTCACAAGGGAAGGTTCAAAGGGTATAGTGACTCCCTACCTATCCTATGCAGGGATCGACCGTTTGAACACAATTGTTTCCGACTTCAAAATACCCCAAAAATCAATTTTTCATTCATGTGGGGGATTGTTGGAAAAATAGCTTAAAATGGCATGTTAAATGGCTATTTTGTGGTACAATTATCAGTGGGGTCCACTTTCAATTTGGGTCGGGTCAAAGTGGATTCGGATTCTTTGTAGTGAGACGAAGAGATCGATATATTGTACACTCAAAACGGATAATGGGTGAATGAGATATTGATTCTCAAAGTAGACCCATTTGAATTGGAAAATGGAAGGGAAAAGTGGGCTTTGTCCCACATTCGTTTGGAATGAGGATTTTCCCCCCTTATATACAAGAGCTCTTTTGAAGCTTGTAGAATTGTATAGCATAGAGGCTCTCTCGTGCGGGGGGGGGGGGGGGGTGGAGGGGAGGGGGGTGCAAATCAAATTCCAACTAGACGAGATTGAAAAAGGCTTGATTCAAGCCCGAGCTCGTGTGCACCGGCACCTGCGGGCACGAATGTCGTCCGGAAATTGGCTGGCCTTGCGGGCTAAGTTATGCCAAACTTCGGTATCATTTTCCAACCGGTATAGTCACTTGGTTCGGTCGAAACCGAGAGCACCACTCTCGTGCTACAGAGAGCACGAGAGGTTGTGGTGCACCGAGAGCACAACTTTCGTGCAACGGTGACCACGAGAGGTGTAAAGGCCGAAACTGGGTAAGGTCGAAAGTTGAGACCGAACCCTGCACGCCAACGGTCTGGAACCCGAAAGTTCTGACTGTTATGGGGATTGAATTCATCTGTTACAGAATTAATATCCTATTAACTCCAATTTTGAATTCTGAATTCAATTCCCGGGTAGTGGCATGCTGTTATAGCTGTTCGAAGTCAGCTTTAATGTCAGTTTTCATTGCCATATTAAAAGCTATCGACTCCTCCACCCCTATATAAGAGAGGCAGTGAGAAGCATATTTTTACACACAAGAGCACAAGCACTTTACACGAAACTTAGAGTTTTTCAAGCCTCAAAATTCTGCTTCTACTCCTTCACTTTCTAAGCCTACTGTGTTCAAAACCTTGTCTTGCTCGCCGGATTCTTTGTTTGAATGCTCAAACATTGAATCATAGCAAGTTTTATCCTGGGAAGCCTAGGCCACAACGCTCCTAGCATCTTTGGGAGGTGGCAAATAAGGTTTTAAGGAAAGAGTGATCGCTTGACTCTTGCAAAAACCCAACACCAAACACGAGCCAAATTTCTCCATCTTTCCTTCTCTATTTTTCTATAAAATAATAATCTTATTTTTGATTATTATTTGTTTTTTTACCAACGGTTCCAACAATATATATATATATATATATATATATATATATATATATATATATATATATATAAATAAATTAGGTTCTGGTGCGGTTGGCAGCCTCAGGTGCGATTGTGCGATTAAATCTAAGCCATTGATCTTGCTTAAATCAACGTCCAAGATTACTAAAATTACAAAAAAAAAAATGCGGTGACAATTTGGTAATTTTTGCATCTAGGTAAATTTAAGGTGCTTGGGTTTGGGCTTAATGTGCGTGAGTTTTGTGCTTAATGTGCGTGTGGTTTGTGCTTATGGTGCGTGGATTGTGTGCTTAATGTGAGTAGTTGTTGAAACTTAAGGTGCGTGAGGTTTGTGCTTAAGGTGCATGGGGTTTGTGCTTAATGTGCGTGGGGTTAGTGCTTAATGTGAGTAGTTGTGTGAAACTTAAGCAGTGTGAGTTCTGTGCTTAATGTGCGTGACTTTTGCGCTTAAGGTGCGTGTGTTGTGTGCTTAAGGTGCGTGATTCGTATGCTTAAAGTGCGTCAATGTTATAAACTAAGATGCCGAAGTTAATACTTAATGTGCGCCATTTTAATGTTTAAGGTGCGTCCAACCGCACAACCGCATGGGAAGCCATTCTCGTACCTGAACACATCAACACCATTCGTTCATTCATCTTAAGAAAATAAATGTTAGAATCTTACCATTACTAAACATTTATTAAACTAAATGTTTAGTTTAAAGCTACATAGCTTGTAGCTCAATGGCATTGATGTGGCTCTTCCAAATAGGAGATCAGAGGTTTGAACTTTAGAGTAGTGCTTAAAAAACAAACTTTCAAATTTACAATAATTATAAAATAAATCTTGTTTTTAAAATTTTTTAATATTTAATTATAAATTGCTATTTTAATTTCTTTCTTCTATATTTATCTCTTTAACATTTAACGTAACAACAAAATGTTCATATTCTTCCTATTTATAAATTGATTGTTTTCAGAATGGTAATATATTTTTGAGAAAATTTCAATTTTGGTCCATTAACTATTGGGGTTGTGTTAATTGCAACACTTGACTATTAAAAATGTTACTTTAGTACTTTAACTATGCAATTTCTATTGTTTCGTGAGTTGTTTCTTTGTTTCGATTGGCTAAAAAGTCCGCGTACTGATTTCCTTCTCAAAGAATATGTGTGATATCACAAACTTGAAATTGCTTCATGATGGTTTTAATTTACAGTCGGTGATGAGCGTATTAGCTTGCAACCAAGACTAGTATTCTCCTTTGATGGCGTTGATCATGGCTTCCGAGTCACACTCGACAACAAGCATATCGAAGCCTCTATTATTGGCGATAACGAGGCTCTCACAAAGACCCCAGATTTCCACAATAAAGCAAGAAATGATCCCGATTTTGGAAATGAAACCCACGACTCAGGAACTCGTATGATCTCGAAACACACCTCCCGTAACCTTTGTGAAAGTTTATGATATTTTAGTGAAGGAAATAAATGGACAAACTCCTTAGCTAATCTTAGATAGTTGAGAATTTGAAAAACTATTATAATATTTTAGAAGACTTGGGAGACCATTACGAATCTTCTCTAGGTTCACAGCTGGCGCATAGACTCAAGGCCTAATCTACTTGCGGAGAGGTGTTAAAAATTAAAAAAAAAAAAAAAAAAAAAAAAAAAAAAACATTGAACCAAAATAGCCACAAATTAATAGTGAATTTGGATGTACATTGAAGAGAAAAGAGATGAATCTAAGGGTGGAGAGCGGCAAGGGCGAATCCATAAGGGGAATTGTAAATCATAATCAATAATAATTACGTTAGACACATGTCAATTATTGGGGACCTCGTAGGGCCCACCAACCAAAGCAACTTTTTTTTTTTTTTTTTTTTGGTCACAATTACAATTACAATTTACAATTGAAGACTTCAAAAAAGTGTTTACTTACAATTATAACACTTCATGTCGTCATTTGAGTGAGACCACCGGCACCATCCACCTGTCTCACTCTTGCAACTGGTCAATTTTTCCGCCATTGACATGCGCGGTTTTCCCACTTTTCTTCCTTTATTTTTATTTTTATTCAATCCCTTCTTTCTATAAAGTTAATTGTACTTAACACGATTTTTTTAAAAAAATAAATAAATAAAGTAACATACTATTATTAGATTTAGGAATAAGGGTCAACTAATTAAATTTAGTGGCCTTGTGGTCTAGTGGCACCAACACTATCGGAAATCATGGAATTTTCGATCACCTGAAAGTGATCTTAAATCAAGTCGAAAGCCTTGTTCCGACCACTTTTGGTATTCCGAAAAATCTTTGTTGCTATTTCCGACAACTTTTTGGTTTCAACTTGATTTAAGATCACTTTCAGGTGGTCGGAAATTTCATAATTTCCAGTAGTGCAAGTTGACCTTTGTATATCGTCTCTATTAAGATTTAATGGTCTATTTGACCCTTAAATAAATTCACCTGTCAAGGACCTTGTGGTCTAATATAAATAGAGTAAATATCACTTATGTTTCCTTGAGTTTGGTAGATTTACTCATTTACCACCAATGGTCCCTAACTTCTGTAATTACCATCCGTCATCCTCCGAAAAGTGACCTGCCATCGTCTTCTCGTTAGTTAATGCTGTCTAAACCGTCAAAAGCAGGGATAAAAGTGTCATTTGGCATATAGCAAAACATTTAGAAATAAAAAATCACAAAATACCTCCATAGATCAAGAACCCCCACCCATCCCCTTCTGTCCCCGCCTTCTAACGCCGGAGAATTTGGCGAGGTTATGGCGAGCAAGACGAAGATTTACCTCATCATGGAATATGTCCGGGGAGGGGAGCTTTTCAACAAGGTGGCTAAGGGGCGGTTGAAGGAGGAAGCCGCCCAGAAATATTTTCAGCAGCTGATCACCGCCGTGGATTTCTGCCACAGCCGCCGCATGTACCACCGCGATTTGAAGCCGCAGAATCTTCTGCTGGACGAGATGGGGAATCTTAAAGTGTCTGATTTTGGGCTGAGCGCGCTAGCGGGGGATCTTCGACATCGTCACGCTTCCTTCCCCTCTCCCGCCAAAGACACCGCTTTTCTCCCGCCACGCCCTACACCGGGTCCGTATCAATAACTAGAATCTCCTTTTTTTTTTTTTTTTTTTTTTTTGGAAAAATCTGAACTGCAAAGGGATTTTAATTTTGGGGTTCTGGTAAATTTTTGGGTTTGTCTAGTTGAGACAAGATTTCTGAGACGGCGGCGTTGAGATCGGAGAACTGGAGGAGTGCGTCGAGGTCGCCGGAGAAGGAGGAACATTGTTACCCGACGAGAGGGTCGGCGGAGGAAAATGGGAAGCATCATCTCTTCTCTTCTCTTCTTATATTTTCCCTTTTGTTTTTTTCTGACCAATTTTGTTAAGATCTGTGATAGGGTTGGTGGAAGTTGACTTACTCTTTTTTATTTTTTATTTTTTTTTTTATTTATCAATGGCGCTGACGACGGATCTGTGATGCCAATTCCCAATTTCCACTCTCAATTCTCTTAACTAAGAAGGTATGCCAATTCCCAATTTCCACTCGACTCTCTCAATGCCACTCCACCTCGGACGCTGTTGAATCCTCGATGAAACCCACGACCCAGCAGCCGGCTTCCACCATCTCTCTAAGTTCGAGGAAATCACTATTGTGTGTGTTTTTAATTTTAGATGTTTTCTTATAAGCCAAATGACATTAATACCCTCGCATTTGACGGTTAAGACGGCCTGAACTAACGGAAGGACGGTAACAAGTCACTTTTCACGACTCGGAGGATGATAGATGGTAATTATAGAAATTAGGGACCATTGGTGGTTAAGCCACCAAACTCGAGGGACCATAGTTGATATTTACTCTAAATAAATAGGTGAAGTAGAAATTAAAGTCGTAAGTTATTACATGTGTTTGTGTATTTGAAAAAAAAAAGGTTCTTTTCAAATTCTTCTGTTAAGTAAAAAAAATGTAAAACTATTTTATAATTTATATATTATGCAAGTAAACTTTTTTTTTTTTTTTTTTTTTTTTACACTTTGTGATGGACATGATTTCATTTGATTAGTACTTAACTGAGGCCACCAATTCAAAAGTATCGGATTAATATCAACAAGTATAAAAATCACATTAATATATGAAATTTGTATACAAAATTTTGTAAACAAAAACTTTTTCCACAAAAAAAAAAAAAAAGAAAAAAAAAAGAAGTCATTCCCTTATTTCTTTATTTTACAACTTTTCCATGATCGCTCACAATAATGACCAAATCTAAACACAAGCCCCCTAACTAAAATCACAAATCAAACTAGATCGTGAGAATCTAGCATCAACAATCGAAGATCACAACACATGCAAGTTTTTACCCTGCACCATGAAAGATCGATGCAAATATGAAATTCATTTTCACCTTTTCAAATGCTTATTTTATTTTATTTTATTTTATTTTTTGGTAGGATGCACAAGACAAGAAGCAAGTACACTATTTTCTCATCCTGCACCAGTACAATAGATCCTGAAATTCAGTGGATGGATGCATGCTCTAAGAACTACGTATTGCCTCTTTATTGAGAGGCAATAAAGAGTATGATATGTCATAGTATTCTCTTGAGAAGATGATATGTCAGAGTATTCTCTTGAGAAGATACTCTCTTTTTGAATGCTGAGAGAGTTTCATAAAATTCAAATGTTTCTTCGTAAATTTTTAATCTTAATTAGTTGAGCTCTCTCTCTGACCAGCGTATCTATAATACTCTAACCCTTGGAAGACAAGTAATTCCTTAGATGTTCCATGTAGATGAATTACTGTCTTATCCTTGAGGTATTTAAGTCAGGTAAGGACTTTCTTGTAAACTAACCTCAAACAATATAACTGCTCTAGAAGTTGTTTCGGATCCATTAGTGTGGTTCCAACGATAAGCTTTCAAAGGCTCTGGTATAGTGTCTGCTCCTTAAGATACTCATATCTTTAATTAGAACTCTAACTGACACTAAACCTAACTTATCTAGTTTGCCATAATAATCAAGCCAATTACAAGTTGGGTTTACATCACTAAACACTAACAAACTCTCACTTTTAACTATTATTTGGCAAAACAACTCGATAAAAAATAGTACATTTAAATCACCAAAAAAAAAAAAAAAACCTTAAAACAAAGAGTAGTTACTTACATAAAAGGTAAAAGATAAACACTTTTCTAGAGGACAATTGTTCAAACTGTTACAGACCAGAGTAACCAAACACAAATTAATTAAACGGCTTGTAACCAAGTAACCAAGAACTATATATTGTCTTCAAATTCAATTTAAATAACCAAACTCCCCCTAAACCAGAGCAGTATTCACCCTTTTTGTCAAAATAATAGCAAAGTAAATTCAATCAACAAGGGGTTCGTCATCAATGACTTGTGCATCAGCAACAACTGGTTCAGCATCTATCAGACTCAGTCTGAGTAGGACAGTGGCAAGGTCAGTCTTGGTTGCGTCCAATTGCTGATTAATAATGCGGCTAGCAACCTCCAGGTCATTAACAGTGCATTTCAATTTGAGTGTCTTAAATCACGCACATAGTGTGTGATAATCCAAAAATAATTTTTTTTTAAATTCCTTTTTTAAATTCTAAAATAGCCATTTTCACTCTTTCAAAATTTTATTTCGAAAACGGTGTTTGAATTAAATATTTTAAACTGAGTTTTTAAATAAATTCAACACCAAGATTTATTCTATTTCAAAAATCCTAAGCTTTAGGTACATTTATGTACCAAGTTTTGACCCAAAAAGTCAATTTGAGTGAAACCGGAAAGGAACCTGTGAAACCTGAACCAAATGTTTTAACTAGAAAACATTTTTAGAAAAGCTATTTTTGACCCCAAGTTATTCAAAATCACTTTTTGAGACTTTGGTCCATGATGTAAGGTGAACCAAGAGCCTTCTACTACTTTGTCTGATCTTTGCTAGAAAAAGTCAAAATTACCATTCCACCCTCAATCAATCATTTGGTCTCTTACCTAGGGTTTTGCACCCTATAAATTCAACACTATTCATTTGTTATTCCTGATCTCTTTCCTTGCATCTCCTCCCTTGAGTTCTCTATTGAAAAAGAAGACAATTTGCAGTAAGGTTTTCTAACATTCATTTTCCTCCATTCATTCATCTTTCCTCCTGATTTTCATCTCTTAGCCTTCAATCTCTGAGGTTTCCTCCTGTATGTTGTTTGTGTGGTTTGTTTGAGGAGTTTAAGTAGTGAAGGTGGTGGAAGTTTAGTAAACAGGAGGAAGAGATCCACACAAGAAGAAGAACAAGCTAAGGTATAAACCATGGATTCCTAAACTACATTTTGATCTCTATTAACTGTTAGAAATGTGGTTAGATGTGTAGAAATGCTTGGTAAATGTTGTATGTTGTTGAAGATCTATGATTGATTTATTGTGGTTTAGAAGTGTTGGATTGCACTGGTTTTGTGTTACAGGTGAAGAAGAAGGTGTCTGGTGCACACAGATGGTGCACTAGATCACCCAATGGAGCTAGCCAACAGACCCTGGCAAGGTCCGTTAGCCAGCCCCGTTTTGAGGTGGACCATGGCATGGTCCGTTGCCAAGCACCGCGGTTTTGCGGAGCCAAGTGGCGGGGCTTCCCAAGCCCCGTCACCAAGCTCCGCCAGGCCATTTTCAGTTCTAGCCAGGCTCTTTGTGGCTCAGCTACGCGTTGTTTGGACCGGGACTCGTGGGCCCTTGAGGCTCGGACACTCAGGCTTGTTACAACGCACTAGTAGAAGTTAATTTCGTTGAATTTGGAGTTGTAATGCATGATTTATAGTTGAAAATGTGAGAATTGACTTCTCTGTTAATGATGTTGTTGCCTGTGGACCATTTCAGTGAGTGTAAATAAAGCATCTGAATATGTTATTGAGTTGAGAAGCATGTCTAAATAATTGTTATACTTATTGAGAAGTTTTGATAAGTTTTAGAGAAACTGGACTTGAGTAGTGCATATTTGCATGGTTTATAGAGAATGAGATTTTGAGCATAAGTTTCCAGTAAAGAACATGATAGTAATTTTCATTGTTTAAAGTGCATCATCTGGCTCTAAGTAAGCCTAAGATCTATTTCAAAAAACCTATATCTATTTTGAAAAATCATTATCTATTGGCATTGATAAGTTGCATGATATTTGATTTTCAAAGTTGTGAGTAAGAGAAGTTGTTGAGATTTATGTGCATGAGCTTGCATAGGAAGAGTTTGTTGCATGAAAAAAGGTGTTGCATGAGATATATCTATATATTATCTATTGTGAGGAAAATAGTATTTTGGAGGACCGTTAGGACTATGTCCTTTCGGAAGAAAATAGAAAGAAAGAAAGTTTGAGAAAGGAAAGAATCGGACATTGCGAACTGACAGATATTTTAGAAGTAACAAGGTCGATATTCTCGCGTTACTAGGTTGGAGACTACCCACCGGGCTTGGAATCCTGGTTAGGGGTGTGCACACTGAAAGTACGATACCTGATTCCATAGAGAAAGAAAGAAAGAAAGATTGATTAAAGAACCACCAGAATGGGTTCCGTGGGCGAGTTGAGTATGTGGCCGGCTAGATTGCCGAGCCAGTTAGGTCCATTCACGATTCGTGAAGTCCTACCTCCCCCACGAGTTAGAGGTTCCGTTGATACGGATGTGGCGGCTGCACGAGATTGCACCGTTCGCTAGGGCTTCGCTGCGGCTGAGTACCTGCTTTGCCCAAGAAGATAAATGAGAAAGTGGAAAGAAAGCGAGTCAAGAGACTCAAAGAGAAAGAAGAGAAAAGCGAGTCTGTGTGACTCAACAGAAACCTCCACAGAAAAAGAAATCCTTTTTATATGAGAGAGAGAGAGAGTATATTTATATACTTACAGCATCTTGTCATTTATTGTTACATGTCTTGTATGACTTGCATTATGAATTTGATGAGTTGATAGCATGAGATTGCTTATTATTTGACATGACAGCATGAGATTGTTTGTTGAGTTATTTAGTATCTCTTTATCTATTAGTTGAGCATGAGATTGTATATTGGGCTATGTCTTGAGATATTTGTTGAAGCTTGAGATTTGTGATTTTGTTGAGTACTTGAGAAAGCATGATTATGTGTTGATTAAGTTGCAAGCATATAGAGATGTTTATAAGTGTTTTTGAGCTTGTTGTTTAAGTGTTGAAAGTACTTGCAATTATGTGCGCTTGCCAAATCATTTTCAAAATCTATATCTATAGTACTTTACAGGGTTGAGTGGCTTTATACTTAGCATTCATGCTAATGGATTTATTTTCCTACTGTTTTTATAACCCCTTTCAGGTGGGCCCGGAGTTTGAGCGCGCACAGTTTAGATTAGTACGTAGATTGAGTTAGTATTTCTAGTTTAGATTCTGCTGTTAAACTTTTGATGTTAGATTTTGTTGTTGATTTTTTGTTGGTGCTTGGACACCGGGGCTTGTTTCCCCTAATTTTAAGGTTGTTAATTGATGAAGTTTGACTTTGATTAGTTTATCCTTTTTAGCTTGTGCAGTCACCGCGAGCAGTGACTGTGGCGGTAACACCCGTTGGATGGTTTTGGTTGAATTAAGTTATTGAATCTTTCTTTTAATCTTGTTTAGCTTATCTTATTAAGTTAAGTTGGGATTTAGTTTAGAGTTAATACCCAAAATAGTCCCTCGACAATGTCGTAATTATCAATTTGGTCCTCGACTATCATTCTTACCCAATTAAGTCCTCAACTATACAATTTTTACCTAATTTAGTCCTTTGTCAATTTGACTGTTTGTTGACCGTCAAAAGTGGAAATAAAGTTGTAATTTTACAAGTTTTCTCCTTCCTCCTCATTTAGCAGTGCCAAACTATGTAGCAATAAGCTCCGGTTGGGTTCTAAACCTGTCAGTATCGAAGTAGTGGTTATGCATCAGATAGCCCATGAATTTGATTTCCAACGATTTTTTGACGATTGAAATCTGATCGGAGTGTATTGCTGCATGGTTTGGCACTGCTAAATGGAGAGGAAGGAGAAATCTTGTAAAATTATAATTTTATCCCGACTTTTGACAGTCAACAAACAGTCAAATTAATACAGAGGACTAAATTGGGTAAGAATTGTATAGTTGAGGACTAAATTGGGTAAGAATTGTATAGTTGAGGACTTAATTGAGTAAAAGTTACATAGTTGAGGACTTAATTGGGTAAGAATGGTAGTTGAGGACCAAATTGGTAATTATGACATAGTCGAGGGACCATTTTGGGTATTAACTCTTTAGTTTATAGAAAAGTGGGGTGTTACATAGGGAGTCAGGTTCTCTTCATTCGCATCAGTTTAGGCTGGCACTAGTGATGGTATAGCTGGTGTAACATCCTTCACATGTTTTCCACTCAACAATTGATCATCAACTTTATATTGCGTTGTGGATTTCATTATCTCGTGAGGATATGGAGACAATCCCTGAGCAGTCAGAATAGCAAAGATAAGATTATGATAAGGTAGTTTTATGTACCTTTTGCTCCTTGAGATGTATGAAGGAGAGTATGTGAGAGAAGATAATCCTTCAAAGATCAATGCCCTTCTTAGTGCCAACACGATACAAGAATGCAACTAATTCCTTGGTAACATAATAATGATGAGCTGATGGAATCCAATTGTATGTAGTCAAATGATGAAAAATGACATATTTTTAAATCAAGCCTGCACTATAGATCACATCTAATGGATTGTTGGTCGGCCAGTGAAAGTAAGCTTGTCCAGAGATTGTCCTTGCAATTAGATCCCAATTGTTGAGGTCTTCCATGGGTTTCGCCTCAAGTTCATTAAACTCATTAATCACTTGGGGACTAAACTTGTACCATTTTCCCTAAATAAATACCTTATAATGTTTTGGACTCGAAGCACTACTACATAACATAGCTACTACGACGGTTTTTTTTACACATACAAGGCTGTTTTTCAAGTGCCGTGTAAGTTACTGACGTTGTAAATAAATATTTTCTACGGTGGTTTTTAGAACCACAGTATACGTTACCTATATACGGTGATTTTTTAACCGTCGTATAATCTAAACATATATGCCGTATAAATGATTTAAAAAAATTCATAATTCATAAGGCGGTTACGAATAATAACCGTTGTCTAAAGTGTACTTTATACGGCGGTTCCTCCAGTTCTTTCATCAGCTTCCCTTCTCTTGTATGTATATGGTTTATCAAATTGTCCTTTATAACAAGCTTAGCATTCAACTTTTTCATGGTTTCTTCATAGGTTTTCAATTCATCATTTAAGTTCCTATTCATTTTGACAAGTTGTTTCCAACTAGCAACCAATTTAGCATATTTTTCTTCAAGCTGAGTATGTCTCTCTTCAAAATCATCTAATGACATGTAATCTTGATCAACTCCAAGAGCAAAAAAATTGCAACATAGTTTCCAGAAACTTCGCCATCATTCTGATTCGCATCATCTCATTTATCATCACTCCAATTAGTGACATTAATGGACTTTTTCCTCTTAAGATATGTAGGACATTCAGATTGTATATGCCCATAACATTCACACTCACAACATTGAAAACCTTTATTGAGATTCTTTCCAGTGTTGGATGAGGAATTCTTAGTCTGTCCAGTACGTGATGTTTGACCAGACTTAGACCCAGATGAGTTTGGTGTAGACTTAGTTCCTTATGAGAATCCTGGCTTGTTTTTATTCCTACCAATTTAATTTGTCCTTGTCCATAATGATTAAAGCCTTTCAGAGTCTTTTTGAAGTTCTTTGTTAGTAGGGAAAGAGCTTCATCATCTAGATCCTCAGCATCTAATTCAGTCTCGGCTTCAGTAGTAAATGCCACTGATTTGCCCTTTCTTGAAGCACCAGGATTATCCTCAGCAAGAACTTGTAATTCATAGGTGTGTTAGTGTGTTGGTTTCTCATGATTTTCACCAACAGTCTTGTTTTCTTATCCTAAGTTATCTTGTATAGCAATCACCTTCATATGAAATCTTCTTGGTAAAGATCGAAGGATTATCTTTACAACTCATGACTCAGTGAATGGTTTGCCAAGAACTGAGGCTCTGCTAATCAAATCTTGTACTCAACTATGGAAGTCAGTGATTGTTTCTTCTTCGTTCATCATCAATCCTTCAAACTAGGACAACACCATTTGGAGTTTGGACTGTTTGACATCATCCGTTCCTTCAAATCTTGTTTTTAAGATCTATCATGCCTTCATGGCTTCATCAATACCGGTGACAAGAGTTAATAAGGATTCATGTAAGGAACCCACAATTGAATTCAACGCCTTGTTGTAATCTGAGAGAGTAATTTCAGCGTCTAACCAATCAACTTATGGTTTTGCAATTGTTGTACCATTCACTCCAATCTGTGTAGGAGGTGTCTAACTAGTAATCACAGAACGCCAAACACTTGTTCCTTGAGCTTGGAGGTAGATTTGCATTCTGGCTTTCTAGAATGAATAATTCATACCATCCATCTCGAGTGGCTTCATGTTGTTATCCATCATGTAAACTCAGATTTCAACACACAATAGTATATGCAGAATATAGAAATAACCCAGATTCCCAAAAATTCAAGAATTCAACACAATACCCTAACATCAACCAAGAATATCATAAGATACAAATGTTAAATTCCCTTATGGATCAAGTCACTATGTAGACTTAAAAGCTCATATATCAAGTGTGATTTCGTGTATATGTGATATTATATTTTGTTGGTTATCTTTCTGACTTATCTGTTTGACAAAGTGTCTTATCGCAAACCCTAAACTCGATTGTTCGAACAGGTATTGCAACAACGATACGGCCAAGTGTGGAATGTAAATCAAATAGAAAGTAAATGACACAAGTTATTGTTTACCCAGTTCGATACAATCGTATCTACGTTTGGAAACCACCATCAGTGAGTCCAATCCACTATCTCGACATGAATTCAAATAGATGGTAAAGAGAACGCATTCTCAACCCAATGTGTGATATACCTCACATTGTACAAACCCAAACTGAAGATGCTATAAAGGATTATTGAGGTCGGAGATTCGTACAATCAGCTGTCCAAAAATCCCCCTATGGAGATCTACGCTATCGATGTCGGGCTCGCTAACTCACTCACCACTGCACCACAGTTGTATGGTTCACGGTCCAAATGTAAAGCTTTGTAGATCTTTCTTCTCAAGTATCTTTATGAACTCAGTTCATCAACAATGTCTTGATAAGATGATATGTCAGAGTATTCTCTTTTTGAATGTTGAGAGAGTTTCTTGAAATTCAAATATTGCTTTGTAAACTCTTAATCTCTATTGAACTCTCTCTCTCTCTAACTAGTGTATATATAATACTCTGATCCTTGGAAGACAAGTAATTCCTTAGACGATGTTCCATGTAGATGAATTACTGTCTTACCCTTGAGGTATTTCAGTCAAGTAATTAATGACTTTCTTGTAAATAGCCTTAGAGAATGTAACTCCTTTGCCAGTTATCCAGGATCAGTCCGTGTAGTTCCAACGACTAGCTTTCAAAGGCTCTACTATAGTGTCTATGCTCTGTAAGATCTTCAATCAAAACTCTAACCAACATTAAACCTAACTTATCTAGTTTGCCATAATAATCAAGAAAATTACAATTTAAGGTTTAATTTATATCACTAAACACTTACATTATTCCGATTGATAGATGAGGTGGCATATTGGAAAACAAAAAAAAAATAAAAAATTATATGATGACATGGTTAGCACACTTGCTAATGCAATAAGTTTGTTAACCGAATAAAAGGATGTCGCCGCTGTTGCGACAACCATTTGTACTTTTTTTTTTTTTTCATTTTTGTTTTTAATTGTTTATTTATTTTGTTTTGATGTGATGTGAATGTGAGACTCTTTTTGAAAGTAAGAGAGTATTGCAAGGATGTAGAAAAATAGTAAAGGAACAAAATTTCATCAAAATTTCTACATGTGAACCCTTGTAAATGTGTGTACATCAAAATTTTGAGTGTGGAGTAAAAGTTGAGAGTAGAAAATGAAAGTGCATATAATAATTTCCTTCTAAATTTGATGATGTGGAATTTTTGAAAGTGAGAGAGTATTGCCGAGATAAGGATAACATAACTCAAATGTTTAAGGAGTACTAATTTATTAATGGGTTCTACTGCATCCACTCTCAAATCTTACTCCATCAAATTTACTCTTTGATGTGGCAAGCTCTGATAGGTTATTATCTTCATGTGGGCCCTTGTGAAAGTGTCTCCATCAATAATTTTAAGTGTGGAAGTAAAAGTTGAGAGTATAGAAAGGGACTACATGTAATATTTTTCTTAATTAATACAAGAACATTTATAAGATTTGATATCACCATTCACCAGTGACCTGTCCTGATCATTTTCATCTTTTGACATAAATAAGAAAAGACATATAACTACTGAATTTAATATATGAAGGACGA